GCAATGGAGGATGTGATTGGAGGGTATTAACGACTGCAAATGCAGCCGGGACCAACGAATTAACGTGCCTTCCGAAGCAGGGAGTAGCTCGAGATAATAATTTTTGGCTTTCCCATCCCGTGACCGACCCTTGCCAAAGTTGCTTAACGACAACGATCGCAGGCCGCGGCGCTTATCCACTACGCCACCGAGCTACTTCTTCTACTTCTATTGGTCTTATGCTAGCACTTATTCCTAAAGAGCATGCTTTATCAGTAGTCGGCAGTATTATGTTATTTATTGAAAACGGTATACACAGTCTTATCCATTATCTGCTCTTAAGGCGATGTGGATACTACATTGAAAGTAAAATTAGGTGCATACTATTAATAAGATATTATTGAGAACGATACACTTATAAAGTGATGTAACTTGGTTTTGAAAGTTAATATTATTGAGAACATTCTGACAATCACGTCAGATAGTGCGTCTCATAGGATAATAACTTTAACGAAAAAAGAAGAGTAGATGAGATCAAAGAGATGTGAAGGGCAAACTAGCAATCGATAGAGGAAAACCGAAGTTTATTTAGTGTGACTCCTAACATAAATACTGAAAGTAGAGAATTAGATAGCTAACAATGTGTGATACAAAGAGTAAAGAAAAACTACCTAGCTTATCAAGGTTTCTGTGTTCTTTATCTATTCAGCATCTATTGATTCTTCTTTCTGTAGAATCATCTATTGATTTTTAGTAATGCACAGTCAGTTTGCTTTCAATGTAGTGACAACAAGTAGCTATTAGATTTAAATCTATCCCAACACACCAACAAGGGAATTTAATTATTAACACACTTTTATCGACTTGTATATATGTAAGAAACTAACGACGTAATGGAATCTGAGGTAACTAATTTAACCATCTTCCTCGCTGCCTCGCATGTTTTGTCTGAGTTCAACAAACTGGTACTTTGAACAGTCAGTTAAATGTAGAGCCTACTAGTCGTGATGCAACTCCAGTTACCGCGCCTGCTTCCATTTCTCAGCACGTTATACAAAAAGTCTTGTCTGTTCCAGCGCCCCACACTTTTACAATCAAATATTATAATTAAAAGAAATAGAGACAAGTTGAACGACCCATAATTTATTTTTGACTTTTACGTGCACTTACAAAAGCGTGTCTATCTAGTGTTTTTTTAACCATTAATTTTTATAGATATACCCTCCCTGTTGTTCTCTCCAGGTTGCCAATAAATTTCAACTAATATAGAATCATAATTTATCACCCTAAAAATTCCCTCTCAATTTTATAAAGTCATGAATACATTTTTGTCATTAACAATATAAATTTAAAATAAACGATGAATAATATCTTATTCATAATTTCTATTTATTGTCAATAGAAAAAGTGACAAATCGCAACTGTTGATTAGATTCAATAAAACTGGTTTTACTCTAGAGGAAATACTAGTTGTGACCTTTTGACATTTTAAATCATTACGTTTCGGCGTTTGTTACTGCTTTTGTCGGTTACGACTCACTAGATGTTGACTACACCTGTATGTTGTTATTCTTATCTAATAGAAATGTTAGATATACATTTAATAGAAAATATTATAAAAAAGTCAAGTGTCCAGTTTGCGATACATTAGAGGTTCGAATCCTATGTTTTTGAATGTTCGATGTATTTTCTTATGAGTATGAATATTTTAAGTTCCAATTTAGAACTTAATAATAAACGCATATATCTAGCCAAATGTGAACTGGAAAGCTTTCTTGTTATTGTGGTAACGATTATTTTGGTAAAGTAACAAAATCTTAGCTGTAAAAAGTTTTTTTGTACATACAGAAAGCAGCTGATAAGGATTAAACTCGATTACATTTTGTCAGTTTTCTACAGGCTGGCGCGGCGTATTGACTGGTACATTAGCATTTCAACGTTTAAGGACCTCGACGGCATCTTCCTGTCTGCCACCGACCGGTTCGCACATAACACTTGTACCGATTTAGTATATTTTCCACCGAATGCTAAATATACGAGCAAGTCACGTCACATGTACTGTACTGACCAATGCCGTTGAACCCGACCGCCCGCCGCCGCACAGCCAGTATGTAAATGGCGAATGACCTTAGCGACCATTAACATACAACCTTATAAAACTTCCCCTAAAAATTATGTATATATTCTGATAAATCACTTTATTCACGATTTTTTTTATGGATCTCGTGACATAAAGTACAAATATGGAAAACTCAATTAGAATATTTTATTAGGTGTAGATATTTATTAAAGTTTAAGTTACAACAAGACTGAATAATTTTAAGTGTGTTGGTAAGTTATTTATTTCCTTTCTATAAACCTTTATTTGAGACATTTAGGTGATTTAAAATTACAGTTAAATCTAACCACAAGGTAATCCTAAGGGATTGACCGATTATACCGATAAACAGCATAGTGATGACAGTTGGCATTCAGGTAAAATGACAAGGTCACTCCGCGACACCCTGAGTTTCGAAATGTCTGTGAAATCATTGGCAAAACTTGTGTCATGAAATAATTAAAACGAGTTGTTTCGCAACGTAAGTTCCTCCAGAAAACATTTTGATATATACAATTACATATATATAAGTGTGCATGTAAGTAAATGTGTTTGTCTTGGTGTGTTTATCTATGTGAGGGTTGCCATCAGGTGATTGTAAAACCAGATTATGTTTTGCGTCATATGGTTACTGGTTACTGTGACGTGGGATGTAAAAAATGCTAATATTTTGTGATTTGACGATCCAATGTGAACTTTGAACCCGAGATCTCATTATTTTAATGTCCTGCCGAGTGCCGAGAATGTTAATGACTATTTGTCTCCTACATAGTAAAAATACTATTTAAAAAAAGGGAGTTTATTTCATTGTAGGTAGTATTAGCTATCCAGTCGCCCGCGTGTTACGTAATTGTATACAACGAACAATAATTATGACTAGTGTACAAGTTTTAATATTGCGCATATTTCCATTACAAAAATAAATATCTATTGATATTGATGAGAACTAGCGCCATCTATTGATCTTTACGACATCTTCTTTTATCTTTTATTTACCACATATTACATAAAGTAAACGACATCCCATGTGAATACTAACAGCTAATAATACTAAAAAGAATTTTCCATCGTTACAGTAAAATAATAATGATTAACAACAACATTGTCTACAAATGTCGTGTCATTAAAACGCATCAATTAAAGTAGGATGTTGTCGCGGTTTAACCGACTACGTTCTAGTAGACCTTTGTACCTACCGTTTGTATGTTTACTACGCGACCCGGCCACGACATATCTCAGGAAATTAACACACGGATCTATGAGTAAGAAATCAATTAAGATTAATTTAATAAGTAATGGATGTCTGGAAATTCCATTCCATGCTGACCAGGAAATGAAAGCAAATGTAGAATGCGCCAGTACATCCCGTCCAAGTAGTACAAATTTACAAAGGGCATTATTTTATTAAGAAATACGCACAAACTTACGGAAGCTTGTTTTATATAAAGATTAGCTAGATTCGTAGGTCTATCACCTAAGCCAGAGAAAGTTAGCTAGATCCGTCGGTCACATTGCTCTGCTTTATTTTGAGGAACTTCGAAAAAATATAAAATATGCAACGTAAGTCAGTCTAACCGCTACTTTTGTGTGATGTGAAACAGAAGCGCATTTGCTTTATTAAAATATTTTTTTTTTATAACATCATCCTACTCAGGGATCTTTATGTTTAATAACATTAGTAAAAAACAAGTCATTACGTAGAATGAAAAACTACAAATAATTTAATAGAGATGTTTTTATGACTATTAAGGTTTTTTCCACTGTCATAATTATTGTGACCCTAGGTTTGAACTAACCGAACATATGAACTACAAATTCCACAGTTAAATAGATGATATTATGTCTAAGCAAAACAAGTGATTTACAACTTAACATGTAACTTAAATATTGCGTTGATTAATTTATAGATAAAAATATGTTTTACTATAGAAATTGAATAAAAAAAAGGAAATAATAGATAACATAATTGTTTTCTTAATGTGCAACTACCATTATATAGTTTGAATTAGTTACAAGAAAATAAATACAGGAATGATAATTTTAATTAATATCTGTGAATATTGAAAGTGAATATTAAAAGAAATCCACCAAAAAAAAAACTAAATCCAACTTATGTTAATTTTTGTTTATGTCATACGATTATAAAATATAGACAACATGTCTACCTTGATATCGAATTTGATAAATATAAATACAGACTAGTTTTGATCCTTTCGTGAAGGTTTCTTAATAATATATAATCTACTTACAATCACCAAAATACGTCTCGTACATTTATCGATTGATTAAATCAGTAGTAAATCATTGGCTATGTTATAGCTACAGTAGCTACAGTTTTCACATTATGGATAACCGAAAGCATGACGGTACCAAAACCATCCAGGCATTTGATGTAGGGCAGAGACAAAATAAAGAAACAATATCTATAATAAATTGATCTATAATTAATTAATTGATTGTTTGTTTGATTAGCCATGGCTACATATAACTATTGACTTGTTTTATAATATTGTGATTTTATTATTATTTGGTGTATTATTATGCTTGACTACAACATTTTTTAGTATTTTTTTTTTATAAGTATTTGTTAAATATCTGCCCCCGCTCATCTTTGACTGGGTGACGACTGAAAACCGGTGCTTCGCCCATTCCTGGGTGATTTAAATGCATCGGACCTAGACCCTTTCCTAACTGCTACACATCACTATATATTTGTTATTTCTTTTTATGTAATTCTGAACCTTGTCAATGTAATTGTGTGTAGTTGTTAAAATAAACATATTATCTACCTATCCGGGAATCGAACCCAATGAATAGCGATAGGATAGATAGATATGGTGATATTACTGAACTGGTGTGAGAGCTTCTCGACTCGGGTCGTTGATTATATCATTAACAATCAATTAAATATAATATTATTTACCGTGCTTTCTTGTTTCTCGAATGGCGGTGAAAACTGTATTTGACTCATTTTGGACTCCTTCTCGTCGCCCATCGGCGACGAAGGCGAGGTCTCTCTGTGGACAAGGAAAACATTGAAACAATTAAACAAACATATAGACACATAATTTTTAAACATTTTTATTAAATTTACAACATTTTTAAATATTGCAATAACTGATACGTGATCAGATTTTTATTTTATGCATATATTAACAACAGTAACCCAGAAAAATTATCTGATTCCAAATATGAGTACCGTTTGAATCAATTAATCTATAAACCGTCGATGTTATTTTAATAGCAATATCTACAATATGACCTTGTAGATTGTACATTAAATCTATTTACTGTTTAATTACAAAACGAAAGTATGTGATTACTAATTATAATATGATATGATTATAATGTGACGACAAAGAGATTCCATTCAAAATTCTTTGTCTGTGGTTGCTAATTTTTTATTCAAACGGCAAAGTCCTCAATCCCTCAAGTATTCAACTCGCGAACGCATCGCTGTTTTGACATATCGTCCATGGTCGCATCGCATGGCGAAATGCTTACGATAATTTACGCGGCGGAACAATTAGAATTGTCTCTGTCTCTATCCGGCGTACAGCGACCTTCACGTGTGCGATGCGATGCAAGATCTTTATGTCTATAACATTTGCAATTTCGTTTGTAATTCGCACACGACGATCAATAAGTAAGCCACTCCAAGCTAATGTTGAGGAATGAATTGATTAATAAATCTAATAAATTAACAACTCGAAGAACACGTTTAGTATTTAAATGTTAAAAAAACCTGAAGAATTTCAAGATTAACACCCATAAAAAAATCGTTTTTAGATTATCCTAACAGATAACATTAGAAAATAAACAGCGTTTAATTTTTTAATGATTTTTATTATGCGCGGGCGTTGCTGAATTAAGTAATAATAAACTAATACAACCTCGTGATTTACAACCCTTTATGAAAGAACTTTTGATACCATAATGTGATGGTATATAACAGCTTCCTAGAAGATTGTTTCACGTACGCTATTATTGCAATCAATCAGAATTCTTCATCAGTCTGTATCAACTTTAACCAGAATACTGATAATCATAGTCAAAATTGTCTTTTGGCATATAATTCAATTCTATATATTTTCAAAGACATAGTGTAGGTTGTATATACTCGTAGCGCTTGCCTGCTGCTATTGCAATATGTTTTTTTACGAAATTGAATTGTAAATTCGGACATAGAAATACGATCAATAATCATGCTATATAATACAACAGAATATTATGCAATGTGTTTTGCGAAGTAAATTTCAAAACACCGAAAGCTTTATATAATTAAATACTAGTGTTTAAAAATCCTATATTTTATAAATATGGGTTTATGAAACAAATATAGCTTAATTTTTCTATAAATAATTTTTCATATGAGAGTGAATTGGTTTATATGAGTTAATAATATACTTTCAAGTACTAAATATTTAATTAGTCTAATATTCAACATAGCGTCTAGACCACGACCAATTTCTTTTACGTTTATTTTACATTTCATAAAGGCTCTATTATATAAAATATTCATATAATAGAGCCTTTTAAATCGTCCATTATTTTTTACCTATCACATTAAGCGCCTTTTGGTTAAAAATAAGGGCAATAAACTATTCTGGCACTTATATTTTGTTTTATTATCAAAGAAAATATTTCATAGACTTTTATGTTTTAAAAATACCTCTGTTTGTCTACTATAATATCACATTACTTTTATTTGTATATATCATTTTTACATACTTTGTTATGATAATCTAATATTTCATAACAGATGACGAGACGCCTTACAAATCATGGAAAAGCCCTGGCTGTAGGTAGGGCTGCAATTTAAACAGAGGAAGTGGCAAGGTCACGTTGGTTTCATAAACCACTCGGTCCGATTCAACAAGTGTGTACTTACTCATGTATTTATAGTTGCACCGAGATCTGTCTTCAAGTTTGCATAAATAAGAACTGGTTAGTGTATAATTATATTTTAAAAATAACTCTTTAAACGACCTATTTGATAAGGTTAAGTTTTTGTAACTATACTTTGTGTTTAAAATTTAGTAAATCTATTCACGATTGGATCTGTCTAAGGAACTATTTTTGAGATATTTTTTTTTTTTGCAGATCTTCCTTGTGTATCATTAATTTAGTCATACAAAAACTTACAAATTACAAGTTACAATAGTATTAAACTAATTGCTAGTTTTTTTATATAAATAGTGTTTGTTCTGTTAATCGTTTGTTTTAATTATTTTTGGAATTGTTAAGAATTAGGTGGCTGCATCATCTCGATTAATTGTAATTTCGTATAACATGAATTGATATTCTTATGAAAAATCCACTTTCTCCATCACTTTCTTCTAAAATGGGACTCGAACCCGTGACCTTTAGCAATTCGGACGACTGCTCTAACTACTGAGCTACTCATGACCTAACAGGATTGACGATATTTCAATCACTTGTTTACTTTTCCACTACTACAGTGCGTATTTTCATCAATGTTCAAGCAATCCACCCAAACGACAGAAATAAACATTTTTGCAAATATTTAAACTTTCGATAAAAATGAAAATCCGTACTAATTGTTCAGTACAATGCTAGTGAATGCAAAATTGATCAAATAAATAATATTAATTGATATTTGAACGATAACTCCAGACGTTGTCATTTCTATTAACCACAGAACAATCACAATATTTATATTTGTTTACTATGACTATAATAGAACTTAAAACCACACAAGTCTAAACCTATCATTAATATAATCATAGTTTAACCAATAGCATGACTATAATGACGAAGACAATGTTTATCTATCTACATAAGAATAATAACACTACAAAATAAAATCGGTTAAAACTTTACAAAAAAGTTATTTGTAGATGAAAATATGATTGCCATATTCTTTAAAAATATTATTATTAACTAGCTGTACCATTTCACCTGTATAAATTAAAACCTATGTCACCAGCGTGTGATGGAGCTTCCCGTAGGTGAAAGAATTTTTTAAATCGGAATTTTTAGTTTCGGAGCCTTCTTAGAAATAAACAAACAATGAAATCATTCCTCTTTATAATATTATCTAAATATATATAACTCAAAGGTGACTGACTGACATAGTGATCTATTAACGCACAGTCAAAACCACTGAACGGATCGGACTGAAATTTGTCATGCAGATAGATGGTATGACGTAGGCATCCGCTAAGAAAGGATTTTGATCAAAAATTGACAAAGTTTTTATCACTAAAAGTTTATATGAATCTTTGTCAATTTTAAACCGATCGAGCTGAGACTTTGCATGCATAAAGCTACTATGAAGTAGGCATCCCGTAAGAAAGAATTTTGATAAATTCAACTCCAATGGGGATAAAATAAGGATAGATTGAATTGGATTAATATCTCTAAAGTTTTAAAAGATAAAGTGCTGAAACATATTGGACATTCGTTGGTTTTTTTTTGTCGAAGTATCTTAAAACTAAAACATCAAGTTAATTTCATCATCAGCTCGAAAACAACAGCGTTTTTGAAAAAAATAAGCTGGTAACTACAGCACGCGGACTAAGTCGTGGGCAAAAGCTAATTATAGATAAAATAATTATTATAAACTATTCAAAGTAAGAGCTTATTATTTTTAACACAAAAAAATCCTTAAAGAAAGAGTTCAAGTTAATAACCACATATGTTTGGGAAAAAGGTAAAACCCATGCAGGTATAAAATGTCCATTCACAAAGATGCCTGTGAAAAAACAATTTTAGAAAGAAATGCTTTCAATGCCTCTTATAGGACAAAGTCTGTTTGATAAGCAAGTCTTATTAATAATATTTAAGATGTGACAAATTTTTGTTTGTTATTTTTTTTACGCGAAATTGTCGCAATGACAAAATAATCTCTATTCAAATAAACTTATTAAAAATACTTTTGAATCGTACTAAATGTAGGCGACATATTAAAATGTTTCTTTCATGTTTTTTTTTTTAATTACTTCAATGTTACGAATCTGTATGATAGAAAACAGCGAATAACAGACTTTCTTGTTATTAACAGATTATCTTGTTATTTTTTATCAGCGCAAGCTCTCGCGCCCCGTAGATTTGCGTCCTATGATGGCGTAGTTTTTCCTTTCATTTGATAGCTTAGACGGATCGAACGTTATTGGTGTTTTGTAGATTTCAATGATCAATACGTGATCACCAGGTAATTGTAACAGAAGTGAATGCATACGATAACAATGAGTCAGCTGATGTGTTGCGTCGGTCGGCACGTCATACACCTGTCAGCAGTTTTAGACGCATTGTTTTAATACAATCGGATCGTTACACACGGACGACATAGACAGCATTTAGATATATTAATAAACACATAATTGATGCACATTTCTCTTGGCCTCACTTTGAGTGAAAGGTTAAAACGTTTCGGGCAAACTTGCGAATAATATTCAAACCTTATGGAAAAAAAATATTATATCGTCTTGATACTCGAGTCAAGTAACCAAATATGAAATAGAATAGCTAAAAGCTTGACTTATTGAAAGTTCTTTTTTGTCTATTACTATCAATTTAAGGAGTTCTAGTATTTTAAATTGAGATTCTATGCTATAATTGATTACTATCCTCTGCGTCCAGAATATACAAATTTAAGTTAACGATTTTTTTAAATACAATCTTAATTTTCATCGCAGCACCTTGAAGTAGTGACGTGATTCACGATTACAATCAATTTTCACAAAGACGTGTTAAATGTCTCTTGCCACCTCAAGTGAAACGTGATAACTTTAGTAACAGTAGTACGATGAATCAAGACTTCACATTTAAATTAATGCTCTTTCCTATGAGTCTTTAACACTATTCTGGAAAAAATATAGACCCATTCTCATATTTTATTAATAGAATAGATATATTGTGTAAGATCTCCTATTTTTGTAGACTTATGATTATGACAATCTAATACGTGATTAAAATTGTCTCTAGTAAGAGCAACGGATGCACGATGCCTTTCACTGCAGTTGCGCAAACTCACAGAAAAACATGCGAACGC